TTTTTTATTTGCATTTTTTCATTTTTAAAAATTTAACCAACTTATTTTGAGACGGAAATTTTTTTATTCCATTTGATTAAGTGGCGTGTGTGTTTGTGTTTGTGTGAATGTCTGTCGGTGTGAGTGTGTGTTTGTGTGAATGTCTGTCGGTGTGAGTGTGTGTTTGTGTTTGTGTGAATGTCTGTCGGTGTGAGTGTGTGTTTGTGTGTATGTGTGGTGTGTGTGTTCCAATTTAAGTTAAATATAATAAAATGTTTTATTAATGATTCCAAAAACAAACAAACAAGTTTATTTTTAGACTAAAGGATCATCTTTCAACTTTACGATTGAGAGATGGAGTTAAATTACACCCAAAAAAGAATAAAATTAAAAAATATTTCTATTTATAATCAAACTTTTTTTACATATCCCATATAGTAGTGTCAAATAGTTGTGCCAAAGTTCCCGGGTTCGAATCTCTTCAAAACTTCGAGTGTATGTGCAATGTATTTTATATTAAAATGATCTATTTTGTTTTGTGTGTGTGTTTGTGTAAGTCTGTGTGTATTGTATACATTTACATATATTTCATATGTGCTACATAAGTGATATAACACAATTTTTTATTCTTTCAACAGTTTTTTCATCTTTTACACCTAAAAGACTTTTCTCTCCTTTTTTGTCACATTCTCACTTTCTCTTTCTCTCACTTTCTCTTTATCTTTCTCTCTTTTTATTTCATCTTTTTTTTTCTGTTTCTCGCTGTTAAGAGTTCAAAAGAAATTTTTTTTATTTGCAAGACAATCATCATTATTTTCTATCTGTTGCATCATTTTGTTGTATATCATTTTTTAATGTATCAATCGGCATTGATACAAAAGTTTTTATCTAAGTAATAAAAAAATGAGCCCTGTTTCATATTGTTGTTGTTTTTTTTTAACAAATATTTTATTTTAAGCTATCGTATATACATAGATATATTGTTTATTTAAGCGATCATATATGAAAATGAATATAAAATACATATATAAATACATACTAAATACAAACAAAAATGTATAGATACATTCACATGTACACACACACACACACACACATACAAACAAACACACATACGTGTATAAATTTCGTAACATCTTTTAAAGTCATCGGAGAAAGCGTTTTTTGGTTTTCGTATTAGAATAGCAGGTTGGATTGAAATCACATTACAGCAAAATTTAAATGAATTTTTTTTAGATACATACATATAAATACATACAAATACATATATATATAGACACATACACACAAACGTACATACATACAGGCGTACACACATACATACAAACGTACATACACACATACCGACATGTTTTTGTATCTGTAGTTTAATGTTCTAGTATGTTTTATTATTACAACACTCGGTTCATAAAGATGCGTCGTTAATTTTAATTGGTTCGTTGAAGAGTTGTAAATCAAAGTGGAAACATATGCAACAAAAAGCAAACAAAACAACACATACACACACATACACACACACACACACTCGTATACACGTACACGCACTAATGTGAATGAGTCAGTGAATTAATGGAAAATTAAGTGAATGAACAAACAAACGAACAAACAAATGAACGACTAATCAATAAATGAGCAAAAAAATGAATGAACGAACGAACGAGCGAGCGAACAAACACTCGAATGAACGAACGAACAAACGAAAGAACCAACGAACCAACCAGCGAACCACTCAACGAACATACCAAGGAACGAATGAACGTATAAATGAATATATAAGTGTAGGGGAGTGAAAAAATGAATGAAGGAGTGAATGAATAATTGTTTATTTTCACAACTAAAATCTATTTGCTAGACTGTTGAGTTTATTTATCTAAGGAACTGTGCGATTGTTATTTTGTCTTAATATAAATTTTGTTTTTATTAATATTTCATTAATAATAATAATAATAAAAATAATAATAATAATACCAAAATTATTATTATTATTGTCGTCGTCATTATTATTATTATTATTATTATTATTATTATTATTATTATTATTATTATTACTATGACGACGACGACGATGATGATGGTGGTGGTGGCACTGAAAATAGTATTTTATAACAAAACGTCATCAACAATAATAATTAAGTCAATTAAATCCCATACCGAAATTTCGAACTATAATAGTTTTATTTTCGCCAAAAAACAACAACATCAGCAACAACAACAACATCAACAACATCAACAACAACATCAACAACAACAACAGCACACCGAATGAACTCGACAGGCCTGCCTTACATCAATCAATCAACTCCATCCCCATCTATGTCTTCTGAGCTTTTTGTTCATTTATGTGCCCATGTTTCTTTGTGTGTGTGTGTGTGTGTGTGCGTGCGTGTGCGTGTGTGTGTGTGTGTGCGTGTGTATCTTGCTATGTCTGCATTTCCGTCTCTGTGTGTTCAGATTCATAAGCATGTTTTACATATGTGTGTGTGTATGCTTATGTGTTATTAAATGTTTTACTGCTGCTGCTGCTACTACTACTATTACTATTTCTTTGACAAACAATAACAACAACAACAATAACAACAACAAAGACAGTTATTTGGATGACAAGATTTTATGTTATTGGCTGTTTCAGTATTCCTTGGAAACCATAAAATATCCACAAATGCGTTCAAATGCGGTTCAACTCTTGGAAGTCTTTTATCGCATCTTTCAAATGAAATGGTATGTGCGTAGTTTGTGTGTGTGTGTGTGTGCGTGTATGTGCGTGTCTGTGTATGTGTGTGTATTT